CCCCAAAACCCCAAAACCCCAAAACCCCAAAACCCCAAAACCCCAAAACCCCGTTAAAAATTTTGTTAATTGAATGAAGATTTATTCTTAGAGACTCTCATCTTCTTCACTATCGAATTGATCGAAGTTTCTCTTCTTTTTGTAGTTTAGATCTTTCTGTACATTTCTCCCAGAGCTAGAGTCTGCTCTTTTCACTCCAGCAGCGTCTTTTCTAAGATTACTATTTGATGTGAAAGAGCGAGGAGATTCTCTGTCTTTTTCAGCTTTTCTGTAGCCTCTCCTATCTTCTCTATCATAATTGCTAGCCTTTGGACTGACAACTTCTCTAGAAACTAGCTGATTACCTCCTGAAGCCTCTCTTCCTCGACTTACTCTTTGGCGAGTATTTCTCTTCGAGGATCTATAGACATCTTCACCTTCACGGATGACATCTCTAGCAAATCTCTCTTCTTGAGTTGTTCCTATGGCTCTTGGTTCTCTTTCATAGTCTTCATCTCTAGTGATGGTCTGTCTCACAACTTCCCTTGGAACTTCTCTGTTAACATATCCCATATTGCTAAGACGATTTGGAGAGGTAACATAGTCAGCTTTATACTTCTCGTTTACATAAGTGCTTCTTCTTCCTGTACTTTGGGGTCTTCCTCTACTGACAGATCTTCTTTCTACAACCTCAACAGTCTCTGGCTCGTAGATTCTTTCTATGATCCTTCCTGAAGGTCTCTGTTGACCATAGTGAGCATCATCAATGTGTTGGTAGTTGCGATCAACTCTGTTTATGGTGTCGTAGGTTGCAGTTCTGTCGTAAACTCCAATGTTTTTTTCCTCGACAAGTCTTGGACGTTCTATATAGCGTGTTTCGTGAACGACCACAGGCTTATCTTCACGGATTGATCTCCTATTACGAGAAATTTCAAGCTCTTTTTTGATATCTTCTTCGATTTCTTTTTCATGATTACTTGCTCTAGGAACAGGTTTTGGCTCGATCTCATGTCTTTCAACTCTTCTAATCGGCTTAGGTTGAGTTGTCTTTCTATTCCTACAGAAAAGGTACCAGAGAAGACAGCAAAGAAGAGGCAAGCAGCAACAAAGAAGGAGCAGCAGAGGCAATAGCCACCACCACAGAGAGGATTCTCCTTCTTTCTTTGGCTCTTCACTTTGGGCAAAACTAATACTTTGTTGTGGAGCTTTGTTCAAGTTTATGTGGTGAAATTCAGTTGGTTTTTCAGGAACAGAGACTATCTTTTGTTGGATAATTGGTTGAGGTACCTTCACTATCTTCTCCTGAATTACTGTCTGGGGTACTGCTACAACTTGGGCATCATGTACCACCTGATCTACTTCAACTGGATGGAGGAATGGCACATCTACATTAGTTTCAACTGTTACATGAGGGTCATATGTTGTTGGGAAACTCTTTCTCGGAGGAGCATTGTACTCCACAGCTGATGTTTCAACTAAATTTGAAAACTCTACATTATCTGATGGCTGAGACACAACATATTGAGAGGAGGACTGAACTGGCTGGGATGAAACTGCTACATAGTTTGTAGAGGAAGCCATGGGTTGAGGTGATGCAATGTAATTTGAAGATACAACTGTTGGTTGGGATGATACATAGGTCGTGGATGCTCCAGCTGGCTGAGAAGATGATACATAAGTTGTAGATGATCCTGCTGGCTGAGAGGACGATGCATAGCTCGTAGATGTTCTCACTGGTTGGGAAGATGACACATAAGTTGTAGATGATCCTGCTGGCTGAGAAGATGACACATAAGTTGTAGATGATCCTGCTGGCTGAGAAGATGATGCATAGCTTGTAGTAGTAACTGGTTGAGAATACTGCTGTGAATATTGCTGTGGAGAATACTGATATTGGGTATTTCCTCCAGCCTGAGTGTAACTATTACTACTGTAAGTATTCACAGGCTGAGAATATTCATAATTTGAATTGGAGGAAGAAGTCTCGAGCATATACTTTCTTTCTTCAGGAGCAACTTTATTATACAGATTTTGCTGTCCAGTAGGACTCATACGATCTTGAATAAAAGAGTAATATTTATCAAATTCATCATTCTTTCCTGGTGTTGTTCCGTCTTTGAGAAGTTCAACGAAAGACTGTTCATTAAATTTAGTTTTTCCTCTTCTTGAGAGCTGATGGCTGATTCTCATTTCAGGATTGATGTTCCAGATGTATTCTTCATAGCTGCTCAAGATTGGTTTATCATTACCTTGCAAGGTATCAAATCCCCTACAGTAATTGCCAATGTCTCCAAAATATAGCTTGCTATATATCAAATTCATGAAGTCCTCATATGACATGATTCCATCAGGACTCCCGTCAAGATCAAATGTTTTCCCATCAAGTGTGGTTTTTACGAAATATTTTCCTGCTTCTTCGAATAGCTCGAATCTGAGAGTCAAGCCAAACTTGGGAGAGATATCAGGATCGGTGGTTTTTCTGTTTAGAAGTTTAATAGCTGCTATCATTGCATTCTCATTGCCTGTGAACTGAGCGTATTTGAGGTTTTCATAATGATCATTTGTCAATTCTCCTTTCTCAGTTTTATATTTAGCATACATAGCCGTTAGAAGATAGTTGAAGTATGGAGTTGATGCTACTCTGGCTAGATCAAGGTTATCCCCGAAGAGCCCTTCAAAGTAGTATTTTCTGTAGTAATTTTGAATAATTTGTTCTGTTACAAACTGCTCGTCAAACTCTGGAACTGGTTTTTCATTAGCTTGTGAAGTCACAAAATCGTCTAAGTACAGATGAGCACTCTTAAATGTTATCTCCTTTCTTTCGACACCAAAAGTATTTGCCATCTTATCAAAAAGGGCATCAAATCTTCTGTTTTTAGTATATTTGTCATGAGCATCTTGAAGGTTTTTAGAAATTTGATTCTGCATCTCAGGTCAATTTGAGAGAGGATCATTGAAGAAAGTTTTGCCATCACTCTCTGACCAAATTGTAGCTTCTCTCGTTGTGAGCTGGCTTGGATTAGGACTTAATCCTAAAGTTTTTCTAACCTTGTTTTCATCCTGCTTCTCGAAAGGAGCTCCAGAGTCTCCATTGGTGTGCTGATATTGGATCCAGTTAATGGAATCAGGATAAACTCCTAACATTGAAGAATAAGTGCTTAGAGTGCTAGGCTCATCTCTGTATGCTTCAAGGTGGAAGTTTTGAGGCTTGAAGTCATTTGGAAGGAAGCCTTTATCTTGGATATATTCTTTCCTTAGTTCTTTACCATGTTTTTGCATCTGGAAAATTCCTTTTTCAGTTAACTCCCCAGGAGATTCTTCATATTGATTGAAAGTCACAATGTAATCAGGGTTTTGAGTATATCTTGGAGCAGTAATTCCATGTTCTTGTAAGTCAACTAGAAGCTTAGTTTCTCTTCCTTTGGATATTGATAGAAAGAGAACCAGCAGAAGCAATCAGCCTAAGGATTCCTTCATAGTAGTTTTCATAATAAAATAAATCAAGTAAAAATAAAATTTGGGGTTTTGGGGTTTTGGGGTTTTGGGGTTTTGGGG